CTTGAAATCAGTTTCTGTATTTCAAAAATATGAAGACATATTCAACTATATATTGTACATATATACAGTATGTGTGTATATATTTACATATATATATTTGGTAGTTGACAAAGTCATTGTTTCATTGTTGCTGTATAGTAGAGTTTCCCAAAGTAGGGGGCAGGACCCCACTTAGGGGTGTGCTGAGCTAATGCTAATGAGAGGTGCAGAATGGCAAACTGTTTCAATTTTAGATGAATTAAAAGAGTTTTCAATGAAGTTCTGTGGGATTTTAACCTGACAATACTCCTGCTTACAAAAGGGTGGCGCTGAAAGAAGTTTGGGAGTCGCTGTGGGAAAAGAAATCTACTGCTTAATGACCTGGTGCTGCGCTGTGGGCTGCAGGGTGCTAGGCTACATAGAGTAGTGTTGCATTCATGGTCTGGTCTACTGTAGAAATGACTTGTTGGGCCTGGGCAGTTTGTGGGCCCCGGGCCGCTATTTTAACAGGCCAAAAATACTGTCAGTTGGTCTGTAATGACCAAACATTGTGATTGTTCTGGCTGGTTTTACTGGAACTTGAACCCCCACCCCTCACTCGTCTTGTTGTCTCTGTCAGCGTTCTCCACTTTTAGTGTTAGCGCCGTATAAAATAAACTAACGAGCAAAAGGTGTTGAGGATTTTGTGGATTCCCCGGAGTCTTTTGTTGTCTTGTTAACACCCATCCATGAACTTTTTCTAATGGCATGTTAAGTCCCTTTGTCGGCTCACAAGTAGGAGATGGACGACCGTCCAGGTCACACCCCCGTCCTCGGTCCTGAGCCCTGATCACTGGCCCTCTACATGTTGCACAAACTCCACGGTGCGAACTGAGCACAGTGAGTCATAAGAGTTTCAAAGGAAGTACCATGTGGTATATGAAGTACTTGTACCTGCCCAGTGTCTCGGCTGTTATCAGGTGAGACAAAGGAAACTTCATCCCCTTCACTATCTGCTGCCATTATCTCCTCCGAGGACAATCGCCGTCCATTTGGTCACTTCTCTGCCCTGTAAACGACTGACATCCTTACAGCAAACAGTGTAAACTCAACCTGTCGCTGCAGGACCGACGCTTGCATTGTGGCCGAGCCGCAAAAAGAGGAAGAGAATGAAAAGAAGTTCCAGGCGGGGAACAAAAGCTGCGGCCCTGAGCTGTTTGTGTTGTCAGACGTCGCTCTCTGAAGACATAAGCCTCCCTTTCTTCGCACTACACTCCACCTATTGTTGTTCTTGTACAAATTTGCTTTAGGCACTGTGGACCCCACCCAAATACCCCCCGCCCCCCAACCCCGACCTTTACTATTTTTTTTTTCTCTGTCGTTGTCTTTCCTACATTTCTCAGTTTGTGTTTAGCATCTGGAAGGAAGCTCCACAAAATAATAATTATAACAAAAGAAAATCACATTTGTGATGTAGCAACAATTGTGTAACAAAGCAACACATTTTCTAAAAAAAAACAAACTTTAAAAAAAAATTTAGATTCATAAAAAACTTTAATTTTATTTAAGGGTAAATGCTTTCATTTACATATACAGATATATTTTTATAAATTTTTTTCCCCCTTTACTGTTTGGAAATCGATTTTGGTCAAATAAATAAATAAAATGTATAAATAAATAAGAATAAAATCTGAAAAAGTATATATATATTAATTATTACAATAGTTTTATATGAATAATTTAATGATAAAAATATTTATTTCAGTTTATATCAATTAAATTAAATTAATGCAACTTCCTGGAGAAATTATTTAAATAATTCAAAAAGTGACTATAATTTTTTTCCTTAACATAAGTCGACTTGAAAAATAACCTAAACTATCGTAGGCCTTGACAGTGGAGTGTTATTGTATATTTACTCAGAAACAAAAGGACATTATTGAAATTGTAACTTTTTTAATGGTGAATGTGTATTGGTGTGAAACTCTGGTCTTTGAACACAGCTCTGATGTGAAGGACTTTAATCCACTTAAAGTTAAAAGAATTCAAACAAAACACACGAAACACGTCTAAAAGGTTAATGTTTATTACACATTCATCTACAGAGACAACAAGTTAGTATTTAAAAATTTTTTTTTATTGCCAACACAAACTGTTGGTACATAATTGTTCGTTCTTGGATCTAAAGAATACTTGAAAAATAAGTAAAAATACTATGATTTGTGAACAATAGTACTTTTATTATCAGTCGTTCTGTTTTGCATGTACTGTACGTTAGAGGTCATCAGTGCAGTAAATGATAATATATGCTGGATTAATGCACTAAATACACTGAAAAAGTAAAGAAAAATAGTATGAAGGACAAAATCGGATTTAACATGTAGTTTTAATACAACTGTTTTTTTTCTTCCAAATCACACATTTTCTCAAATTTATACTCACTCTTAAAAATTGGCAAAATGTTTCTGTTGAGTTGTTATTATTTATGCAAGCATCAAAATCTAGCTTAGCAAATTATTTAATTTTTTTTACAATTTTTTTTTTGCAGCCTTTTTCCTGGGACTGTGACACAGAGCAGCAAAGAAAACGCAGTTAATTCTGTTTATAAGATTTTTTTTTTTTCTTTTTTCAGTCAGACATGTTTCACCTTAATCCCCGGCTCTTATCAGCTCTTCTTCATGCTGTGAATATAATGATCAGAAATGATGTGAGATAAGAGTGTTGTGCTCCTTTGAACACAAACACTCAGCTTAACTGTGGCTCTTTTGAAGGACATGAACGGGAGGGGGGGGGGGGGGGGGGGAATAAGAGATGTAATCTTCTTCTCTTATATCTGACACACACACACACACACACATTAGCATCTGTTATCTCACAATTATCATATACATTAGTCAACACCTGTTTAACTTAACTTGCTTTAATTAGGGCCATTGAAACGCTGCCCTTCACTCAAAACAATACCATCCGACGCGTCAAAAGCCAGTTTGTTATGGTTCGCTCAATAAATTAGCAAATAAAAAGATGTGGCTCGAAGGACCTTGAAACTGAATGACAATCGCGGCCGCTGCTTTAAATCATTTTGTCGTCAAAATTTAATGGGCGAATTAAGGCGGATATAAACCGGTTCTTTTTACGCAAACGCCGTTGAAAAGTACGCGGCGTTTTGTTTATTGGCGAAACCGCAAGCGAAACTGTTAATTTAATTCAGGCGTGCACAGATGTGGAGGTGGAGGAGCGTCAAACACGGAGGAGTCGCTGTAAAAATCGTCATTCACTGAGAATGAGAACTCTGTATCCTCGTCTTCAAACAGAGTCAATATTGTGACAATAAAGAATAGTTTTTTCCCCTATGTATATTTCCAAATTTGAGATTGGTTTTTAAAAATTGCATTTATTGAGGAGTAACAAAATATTGTCACTAATATAAAGACCCTGATGACAAACAACTTTTTTTCCCCTCAAATTTAACATTTAAATCCTTCAGTGATCACTGTGATAAGCAGCACATGTTTTAGTCTCCACGAAAAAAACGCTAAAAGGAACAGCAGAGGGCTCCTTTGATGGGATTTGTTGCCAGTGAAAGGTTTGTGTCTTTTGAACGTAGCTGTCAGTCAATACTACCCCCCTCCCAGCTGGTCGTGTATAAATAGTCGCAGGGCGTCGGGGGAACACCACTCAAACCCGAATAGCAGGACGGGACATAGACAGAGAGGATGCCCGCGTCACAAACTGGATTTGGAAACTTCTTCTTGGAGCGGAACATCAACATGCCCACCGGATACCAGATCCCTGTGCTGGGGAACCTGACCAGTGTGCAGCAGCAGCAGCAGGTTCATCAGCTGGCAGCCATGGCAGCTGGAGTTCCTTTAACGTACCCGGGACTACAGGGATATAACTTCATCCCGTTTCCGAACCACAGACACATGGCACAAATGGTGAGTAGCTGACAGAAATGACTCAGCGGGGATTCAAACATGTGACTTTAACATCGAAACATCATTAAGTTAAATCAAAATAATCGTTTTGGAGTGTTGAATCCAGTGCGTAATTACGCACGAGCTCGATCCCTTGCCATGCCCTCACAACGCGTTCTTTTTCATTTTCAGACGAGCGGCTTCGACATGAAGTCAGCATCTCCCTATCATCACGCGCTCCTGGCCCGCGGCGGACCCTTCTACGCACCGTACCGTCAAGGAGCAGCCGAGGATCCCAGCAGAGTCACCAAGGTCGCCACCCGGGAGAGCACGGGGGCGCTAAAAGCCTGGCTGAACGAGCACCTGAAGAACCCGTACCCCACCAAGGGCGAGAAGATCATGCTCGCCATCATCACCAAAATGAGCCTCACCCAGGTCTCCACTTGGTTCGCCAACGCAAGGCGACGTCTGAAGAAGGAGAACAGGGTGAGCTGGGCGTCCAAGGGGAAATCAGATGAGGAGGACGAGGAGCACGAGGAGGAAGAGAGCGACGACGAAGACACGTCGTTAGAGAAATGTCACGTGGATGAAGCCGAAGCTGAGTCCGAGCGCAAAGACTCCGAGGAGCGCTCTGCGCACAGTGCCCTGGAAGACACCGCACCTGTGGACGCGCGTCTGGAGATGCCGCAGCAGCAGCAGCACCACCCACAGGAGGACGAAGAGGTAGCACTTAAGAAAGCAGAAAACAGTGACTCTGATCAAACTTCATCGAATTTGGAGAGTAAAGGCAACATTTCCAACCCCAAACCCAAAATCTGGTCATTGGCAGAGACTGCCACATCAGACACTCCAGTGAAAAAACACCATATGGACATTATGTATCATCCAGCTGGAAAACTTTGGGCTGATTGGACCAGAAATGGACTCTTTGTCCCGTCGTGTTACACCACACGAGAAATGGTCTAAATGTTGACATTCTTTACGAAAAATCTACGGACAGTTCCTTTTCCTTTGCACTTTAACCTTTCAGGCCTCAGGGATTTCCTGAAGTTTGTGCACAAAGTAGAAACAAAAATGTTGGAGACCAAAGAATAACACGTGTTATTGTAAATAAGTGTAGATGTATTTTTCCACCATTGACGTGTAAATTATGTTCGATGTCTGAACAGAAAGAAATATTTTTCTTAAATAAAATCAATCTTTTAATAATTGTGCAGTTATCCAGGTTTTTCTGTCAAACAAACACTCAACAATAAACACAGTCTGCAACTTACAACACTAAAGGGGCTGATCAAAATCATATACTAATAATTTCCTAAATAAGTCTTCAAAAATAAAAGTTTCTCAAAAATGACAAATGCACTAATTTGCACTAATTGAGCTGAAAATATTTATCTTATTTTTATGAAAAACATGCAAAAAAATACAATTTTCTATTCAACATCTGACCAAAAATTAGAGTTTTTGTGAAAAAGCCTTAAAATCCATCCGTCCTCCCATTTTCATCCACTTATCCGTTTCCGGGTTGCGGGGGAAGCAGTCGCCAACCAAATCACACTGCAACGTACCAACCCCCCTATTTTTGTGTAAAATTAAAAAAAAAAAAAAAAAAATTATTCTAAAAAATTCAAAAACTTTTTGAATATTTATTTTTTCAAAAAAATAATTCTTTTATTGGAATTTTCAGAAAAATATTTATTTTTATTTCAAATTTTTTTCTAAAACATTTTTGAAATTTTTTTTTTAACTTATTTTTTCCAAAAATGCCAAAAGCCTTAAAATGCAAGATTGTGTCCTAAAACATGCTGCCGAGTATTTTGTTTAAAACTCCAAAAATATTTTATATGAATATTTCAAAAATCACCAAAAACATGCCTTACTAAAGACTTACCATCGTGAAAAAATCCAAAACAATAAAAAGTCCCAGAAGTCACTGGAAGTCATTTGGAGGTCGCTTGGTCTTCACTCTGAGCTCACTTGGACATCACTTGAGATCACCTGGAGGTTGCTTGGTCTTCACTCTGAGCTCACTTGGTCATCACTTAGATGTCACTTGGACGTTTTTTCATCACTTTTTTTTCCAAAATCTTGTTTTTCTATTTTTCAAAAAAAAAATTCTAAAAAAAAAAATTTCTTAAAAAAAATAAATTTTTTCTAAAAAAAAAAAAAAATTTTCAAAAGAGATCACAGATGTCAGTTGGAGGTCACTTGGAGGTTGCTTGGACGTCACTTGGCTGTCACTTTGAGGACGTCACTTGGACGTCACTTTTTTTTTCCCAAAATTTTTTTTTTCTAAAACATTTTTCCAAATTTCTTTTTCTAAAACCTGGAGGTTGCTTGGTCTTCTCTCT